CAGCAGGAGATTTGTCACTTCTGAAACCAAAACTACTCAGCAAGATGGGAAACCAAAAATAAACAGTGTAAAGCGACCACCTTAATACCACAGCTATCAGCCCTGTGGGACTCCAGCGAACATGGGCATTTTCTTGGCTGCCTGAGCAAAACGCCTCCATGTGCTCCTGGGAAACAGCAAGCTGACATGGATGTGTTCTCGTGCACATCTCGGCTACTGGGTTCTCGTCTGTATTTCGTCAGTCTGCACTCACAATTGCTTTCAGTGCTCTCCCATAAACACTCTGTGATGAGGACTGTTACTGACTGAATGCAAGCCACTACCTCACTCTGACTAGTCACCCACTCTCTTGAAAACCTCCCTTCCACAGCATAGCTATTTGGATGTATTCAAACCACCTGTAGTAACGTAACTACTTTCTGCTGGGTTAAGAAGTATCCTGTATTTTCTTCCTCATTTTATTTCCCTATTGCTTCTGTAACCCACATGGAGAAAAACATCCTGAGCAATGAACAGAAAAAGTGCTCCCTCACTTTGAAATCACTTGGTATAGTCAGCTGCCAGCTGCTAAAGGCAAAAGTAACTCATCTTTTTAGAAAAACAGGAGTTTTGTTTTGCTTTGCTTGAGGCAATTAAAGATCTCTTGTAACAGTTTTTGAAGCAGGTATGATATTACTGATCTTTTTGTTTTGCCTTTCAAAACACAGACGGCTATGTATTTATCAAAGTTTAAAACTGTGCTTTCTTAAACTTGAAGGCTTTACACCCCAGCAGACGACTGTCATACCACAATCAGCTTTAATTTGACTCATGGGCAGGAGTACACCCTGCAAATTTTTTTTTTAAAGTTCTTCACACATTCAGATTCCAACTCAACAACTCCCCCATTTGTAATAGAACTGAAAGAACATAATTTTAGCACATTTAAGCAATCATTTGTCGCATCATGGAAAAGGTGCCAATAAAACTAGAGTTGTTACCTTTTAATGGTGTATAAATGTTTGGTTGATGCCCTGCTGGTTTCTCAGGTTCATTACTGTCATAAGCCTTTGCTTTTTCCTTTATTGGATTCTCTTGAGGAAAGTAAACTGAAGAACTGCCTGTCAGGAGGCAAAAAAGAAAAAAAAGGAAAAGAGGATTGGTATAGGTGCAGTATCATTAGTGCTCAAAACAGGACAAAACTGAAGGATCAAGACACAGTTTCAGAACATACATGATCTAAATCACTGATCTTTCAAGTTGCAATCTCCCAAGAGTTACTTTCTTAAAATGTAACCAAAAGCAACAAAGACTTTTCGCTTATGGTAAATTTGAGTTCACTACAAATATAGCTGTCTACACCACCACACGCAATCTTTTTTTATTTTTAGGAGTCCTTGGTTTAAAAACACTTGAAAAAAAACCCAGATGTCAAGACACCAAATGCTAAGAGCAAGGAAACGCGTGATGCTAGAGGGATTCGGTGTAAACTAGTAAATACTAGCATGGGAGCAAAGACAATTTTTCCCACAGCTTTGGGCACACAACTTCCAAACAATAATTGTGCTGTCTTCCATAGCATTAGGCAGAGGCGAAAAGAGAGAGAAGCAAAGATAGAACGTAAGTCCCCTTTTTACGTCGTCCAAGCCATCCTTTAGTTGGGTCTCTCTCTCATTAACCATAAAGGCAACCTGGGGCACCTTTGCTCCTAACTGAATCCCCTCAGGTAGCTGAGAAGAATCTAAACCAAGACCTTTCGATCGCTTGCCAAATTACACAGCCAAACACCAAAACCCAACTTAGTTAATGTTACTAACTAGAAAGACTAAAGCTGTGTAAAACAACAGGAGTCACAGAGCAAAGGTCAGGGCTGGAAAGGCAGTCAAAAGCAAACCACCAGGAGAAGAGGTTTGAAAGGATAAAGTGCAAGCACATGGTTGTCCAAACTGACGGTAAAAAAAGCTGTAGAACGCAGACCATGACACAGCAATCAAGCTGAAGGGCACAAGCAGAGGAAACCGCAAAGGGAAGAATACAATTGGTAAAACTTTTCCTCTGTAACATTCACACTAGGCCATTTTATTCTTTTAACAGTATTGGGTTCTCCCAGGGTTCAATGTGTTTCTGTAGCTCTTTTACTATATGTGCAAGGGCAACACACAGCTTGCCACCTAGTGTTTATTCATTTTACTTCAAGAAAAGAAAACACAGCCTTCTTCTGATACGTTCTGGTAGCTTTAGCATGACTGTGTAAGTGAAGCATACAAGGAGAAAAAAAACAAAACCAACCCAAAACACAATCAAGGGAGAAAACTAAGTTTTAAGCTAAGATGTTAAGTCACAGATACAACAGTAAAGTATTTGCCCATACAGAGCGGGATACTGTGTTTTCAAAACCATCTTAAAAAGCTGTTACATGATTGATTTCCCACCAAGCTAGGAATGAAGATACTCACCAAATTATTTGATTTCAGGAATGACAAACAAAATACCCATAATATTTCACCATTTACTGAGGTTTTGCAAGGAAAACATCTCGCTAGCAGTGGTGGCTAGTAGCTACAACACCAGAAAGAGCTATGAATCTAAAAAGGGCTACGCAATGCAGTCCATACTTTTTAACTCCTCTCTCCTTCTTCGCTTCAATCAGTACTCTATCTCTCAAAGCATTTTTAAACCATTGTTAAGAGTTGTTGCAAACAGGAAAGATCTAAACATACACGACTTCCTTTCTGACATGAAGACAGCTTGTGAATCAGCACCTTCTGTAACAACGGGGATCACCTGCAGACAGGAAGAGACAAGCGCACACGTGCAAGCAGATAGCACACGTGGTACCCCTACAGAGAAAAGTCAACTCTCCCTTTATGAAGTTTAACTTTGCTAGAAATATATATAAATAAAAATTCCAGTCCAGACACGCCTGTTCTTTCCTTACAAGGCCCAAAGCCTCCTACCCAAAGGATCATTCCTGCCTCCCAAACAGCTAGTAAGGAGTTTCCAACCCACCTTGAATCTGCTAGCCAGCCACCTCCTGCACAGTCACCTGGCAAGAGAGAGTGATCTTCTTATTATCCCCAATTCACACACCAGTTTAATCAAAGAAATTAGAAATCTGTGAGTTCATACTCTACAAGTTTATAAACGGAAATATAAAGCCACTACTTTAACACAGTGGAACTTGTTCTTTTAAGTCTGGTATGTATCCATCCCTCCTGGGTTCAATCTTTTTCAATACAGAGATAAGCCTGTGACACGTTTGCTGCGATGTTCCACAGCAACTACAGATAGCACAAACTCAAGCGCCAAAACCACCTAGTGCCTGCCTTTAACTCAGACAGTTGTATGCTCTACTTGCATGTTTTAAGGCAACTTCCACAGAGATTGCTTTACCTCGTTCATCTAGAAGATGCCTGATCTGAGGCAGGGTTCATAGGCTCTTAAAGCTTTTTAGCTCTAGAAGCAAGTTTCCTAATCTATATTTAAAACCTCTAAGCAGAAGCCAGAAACCAGTTTCTCAAGCTGTGGTTTTGCTTCTATTCTGCTCTCAGGGAAGCATGACAATTACATCCTTATAAAAATCCACCCTGCTTGTCCCGCTGCATTCCCCCAGTCTGCCCTAAACCCTGCAGAAGAAAACCAATACTGTATAACCACAGCTGGGAGGACTGTGAGGGGGGAAATTACACCTCCACTCCTATATAAAGCATTAGGTCTCTTAACATCGTACTTTTACGCCTGTTGTGACTATAATCAAATACTGCTGTTAAGAGCTTGGGGAACTGGGGGGAGGACATCTCTCCCCTCAACCTCATTTTTAGAGATGCCTACATCAAAAAAAAAACCAAACCACTCAGCTGTGCCTCCTAAAGCAGCCCAGCCACATTTAAAATAGAAAGCATGTTAGCACCCCATTAGCCCTCATTTGGAGTAACAGTATCCCACAGGTTTTTTCACAGATAAACCTTTCTACTTTCCCAAAGAAATACTCATAACCTCCCTCTTTCTCCCTCAAGATTTTTCCACACCTCCTGGAAATTCTGCTTCTGAAGCATAATGTTGGCAGCCCTTTTTAAGGGCAGTGCCACACAATCAGAGCCACACACTGAAGCTATAACAAGAGCTTGGTGACAGCCCTGTTGCAAGAATACAGATGGGAACAGACAATAGTCTTAGGCTATCTCATCCATCTGAGAATTGCCACATACTAATAATGCATACAGTTTGACTCAAAACATACCGCCAGACTAAAAGGGAAGGAAGTAGAATTTGCCTGCAGTTTTACAACGGAATGATAGGCTAAAGCCACGTGACTGTATTATACAAGTTAGCATCTCTCTCATGTTTTGAGAAGGATGCAGTTTTCATCAAACAAAGAAACAAGGTGACACACAGAGCTAACGCAACAGTGTCCAAGAGCAAGTGCCAACGTGTGTTTGGTGCTTCACAGAAAGGACAGGCACACCCCGACAAGGCACTTCCTCATAAGCAATGCTGCGCACTGTGCACAACACCGCCTTAGAGCGATCTATCTTTGCATCCCATGATACCTTATTTAAATTCAGCCTTTTACAAACAAAGCAGTGTTAGCAAAACCAGTTATTCCCCATTTTAACGCCCCAACAAAATACTATTCCAAGCGATGCACTAGATAAAACAGCCACCTAAGGGCTTCAGCGTGCTCTGCGTGCACTGATCCTTTTGTCAAAACGAGAAGCACTCCTCGGATGGAATAAAAACCGCAGCGGGATTTCCTCATCTGTGTGCCAGAACCGTGGTAAAACCTACAAAGGAGCTAAAACCCAATGAACTACATTTCCTCCGGTCTTGTGCTAAAAATGCACATGAAAGCAGCATGCACAGTAACCTCTCAGAGACATAACCCACCTGCCTCCGTGACCGTATTGGGGGTCGAGTCAAGGAGTCCGGTCTCCCGAAGCGGTGCTCGGCTCCTGCAACGAGACACAGCTGACGGGGGTGGCCAGGCCGAGCAGCCCCCTTCCAGCCCACCCCCTCCAAATGCACCGAACACCCCTTTCAGCTGGGGCTGTCCTGCAGGGCAACCCCTCCGCGGCCTGCCCCCACCTCCCTGCCCCG